TATTGTAATCATGTTCATATTCAGATTGGTGAGGCGCGAGCATTGCCATGTGCCTGCTACAGAAGCTCAGGATTCCTGGGGACATTGTATAAACTAGAAAATAAGCCACAGATAGGCAGTTTGACTAGGGTGAGTGCACCAGACTCCTCCTCCTGGTGTGACAGAGTGCCACCAAGTGGGTGGCTTAACGCCACAGAAACGAACTGTTGCACACTTTTAGAAGCCTGAAATCCGCGTGTTGGCAGCGCTGTGCCACTCCCTCTGAGGACTCTGAGGAGTCCTTTTTATAGCCTTGGAGGGGGCCAGCAGCCTTGGCAAAAGACGTTGTCTCCAAACAAGGTCACATTCTGATGCTGTGGGCAGATGCGAACTTCACTATAGCCAACCCTTTATTCCCCCAGTTCACTATTCGTTCCATGGGCAAAATACACTTATCCCATTTCAATAGCCTCAAAAATCAATCTTCCTTCTTTCCTCCCTCCCTCTCTTCTTTCCTTCCTTCTTTTCTACAGGGTCTCATTATGTAGCCCAGGTTGGCTTTGAACTCAACGCAACCCTCCTGCCTCGGCCTCAAGAGTGCCGGGATTAGCTGAGTGTGGTGGCACACCCCTGCAACAATCCCAGCACTCAGGAGGCTGAGGCAGGAGGATCACTGTGAGTTTGAGGCCAGCCTGGGCTACAAAGTGAGCTCAAGGCCAGCCTGAACTGTGTAGTGAGACCCTGTCTCAAAAAGACAAAAAAAAAAGGGGCTGGAATTTTAGGCATGTGCCACCAAAACAAAATAAAATTTTATTTATTTATTTTTTTTGTTTGTTTGTTTTTGGTTTTTCTCCGGTACCAGGAATTGAACTCATGACCTTGCACTTGCCAGGCAGGCGCTGTGCCGCTGAGCTAAATCCCCAGCCCCTCAAAATAAAATTTTAAAACCCACTTATTTTAGCATTAACTCTAACTCAAGAAGTTTTAATTCTCATCTAAACCATGTAAATGAGATGGGTATGAGCCATCCAGAGGCAAAATTCCTCTCATCCGTGATGAAACCGGGAAACAAGTTATCTGCCTCCAGTGTACAATGATGGGTGCTGTGGTTTACTGTCCTTCTGGGCCAGGTATGATGGCACCTGGGGGTCAGCTAGTCTGGAGAAGGTTGATTCGAACCCAGAAGTTTGGACCTCACCTCTTCAGAGAAATGAATGTGTCCCCTCCAACATTCATGTTGAGGCCAGGCATGGTGGCACACGCCTATAATCCCAGCACTCGGAAGGCTGAGGCAGGAGGATGGCTGGGAGTTGGAGTCCAGCCTGGGCTACACAGTGCATTCAAGGCCAGCCTGAACTGCATAGCAAGACCCTGTCTCCGCCCCTGCCCCATTTCATGCTGAAGTGTAATCACCACTGTGTAGGTACTGTATTGAGGTAGGGCCTTGAGGAGGTGAGGCCACAAGGGCCCCACCATTTGGAAGGGCACACGGGACCTAACTTAGCTTCCTGTCACCTCTCTGCTCCTCTGCTACGGGAGGACTTGACACAGAGGCCCTCACCAGACTCCTAGTGCTTGTGCCTGCATCTGGGACTTCCAGGTCTCCACCACTGTGAGAAACTAATTTCTCTATGTCAGTTACCCAGCCTCGGGTATTCCGTTACAGCAGCACAGACAAATGAAGACAGGGAGGAGGGCATCGGATAGAGAGTTCCGTGAGGACAGGCAGAGTTCGGGAGCTTTGAAAGCCAGCAGGGCAAACGCATTGACTTTCAAGGACTGAATGACCCTGCTGTCCAGCTCCATCCAGGCTGGGGGCCATAGCGGCACCCTGTGCTCCAGCAGTCATTCTCCCTGCACCTTTAACTTTCTCCACCCCTTTGCATCCAGACTGGCAGTGTTTCTGCTGGTGTAAAATTTCTCAGCACTGGTAGGTGTGAGACATCCCACCCGGACAGCCTGTTTCTGCTCCCGTTGTGCTGAGAGGGTCGGTGAAGCCCACATCGCACACCCACTCCCTCTGCAGTCGGTTGTCCGACAGGCTTGCTGCTCCAGGTAGAGCACACCTTCTCGCCTGCAGTGCAGTTAGGCTGAGATTATTCCAGAACCATTACTGCTGGTTCTTTTTTGCTTATGTCTTACCTCAATTTTCTCTCTTTTCTCACATTTTAACATAAAACAGGAAGGAGAAACCAAGTTTTTGTTTCCAAATTTTGCTTAGAAATCTCACTAAATATCCCAGTTCATTTCCTACAAGTTGTACCTTGCATCCAACACTAGAACGCAAGTTGGGCCATTTTCTACCGCTTTATAACATGTTCAGTACATGGCCCTAGTTTCCCTGTGAGGCCTCAACTTTCACATTCATATTTCTACCAACATTCCGTCACGACAATGACTGGCTTATCTAAAATGACAGAAGGATTCTATACTGTCTACTTCCTCCTGATCCCCAACCAGAATCGTCCATTTTGTCTGCATTTCCACCAATTGTTTCTTCAAGGCAATTTAGGCTTTTTCTATTATGTCCTTCAAGATTTCTCTTGTTAACTCAATGTAGTGGTGCACACCTGTAATCCTGGTATTCTGAGAGGCTGAGGCAGGAGGACCACAAGTTCACGCACAGACTGGGTAACTTAGTGAGACCCGATCACAAAATTTAAGAAAAATTTAAAAAGGGCTGGGGATGTGGCCCAGGACAAAGCCTCTGTCTGGGTTCAGTCTCCAGTGCTGAAAGAAAAAAAAAAACAATCTCCCTGCCTACTACCCAACTCCAAAATACTTCCATATTTTCATTTGTTATAGCAGCATCCCACCTCTCAGTACCAAATATTTGCTGTAATGAATAACCACAAAAGGGTGACTTTAAAACTCTAGACAAAGGGAGACCCTGCCTCCCAAAGGATGGATGGATGGATAGATAGATGACAGATAGATAGATAGATAGATAGATAGATAGATAGATAGATAGATAGATAGGGGACTTATACTAGGACTGGGAGTGCAGCTCAGCTGCTGGAGCTCTTACGTAGGTGTTGAGGCCCAAGGTTTCAGTCTCCAGTGCTGCAAAATAAGACTTGTAATTTGCAAGGCATGGCTTCCCTCCACATTCTGCCGCTAGATGGAGGTATTGGCTAGAGTTTCTTTTTTTTTTTTTTTTCCTTTTTTTGAGACAGGGTCTTGCTGTGCAGTTTAGGCTGGACTTGAGCTCACTTTGTAGCCCAGGCTGGCCTTAAACTTGCAATGATTCTCCTGCCTCAGCCTCCCGAGTGCTGGGAATACAGGTGTGCACCACTACGCCACGCCATAGAGTTTCTTGACAAGTGTACTCCACTCCTTTTGGAAAGATGTAATTCTTTGTTAATGTATTTGTGGGCGCTGGGGTAACAGCTCAGTGGCAGAGCATTTGCCTAGTTGCTTGAGGCCCTGGGTGGATCTCCAACACTGCCAAAAAAATTATGTCCAGATGCTGTATTACCTACTGTGTTAAGAAATGGTAATCCAAAGCCATACATTCAGATACATTTTTTTGTGCCAGGTGTGGTGGTGCAGGCCTGTAATCCCTGCACTTGAGAGGCTGAGACAGGAAGATCAGCCTGATTTCAAGGCCAACCTGGGCAACATAGTGAGTTCAAGGCCAGCCTGAACTATAAAGTGAGACCCTAAAAAAAAATTTGTTTTAGGTTTTACATTTTTGAGACACGGTCTTGCTTTGTACTTCAGGCTGATCTTGAATAATGTAGCTTGGTCTGGCCTTGACCTCATCTCAATTTTCCTGCCTCAGCCTAATTAAATATTTTAAAATGTATTTCATTTTTCTTTGTACTGGAAATTGAACCTGGGACTGTTGTGGTACATCTTAAGCCCTTTTTGTTTTTTTATTTTGAGACAGAGTCTCAGTTGCTCTGGTTGGACTTTTTTTTTTTTGGCACCGGGAATCAAACTCAGGACCTTGCACTTGCCAGGCAGGCGCATATGCCACTGAGCTATATCCCTGGCCCTCTGGTTGGACTTAAACTTGCAGGCCTCTTAGGTCACCCTCCTCAATAGCCCTGATCACAGGTGTGGACCAACACGGATGGCTTAGAATTTTTTTAACTTTTGGCGGTACTGGGCTTTCACACTGAGCTATATCCCCAGCCCCATTTATAGTTTAAGATAGGGTCTTGCTAAATTGTCCAGGTAGGACTCGAATTTGTAGTCACCCTGCCTCAGCCTTGCAGAGTGCTGGGACCGCAGGAGTGCACTACCACATCCAACTTCTAGATTCTTAAATGAACTAACTAGCTACATTTTTACCCACAAACATAGCAGCTTACAGACAATAAGAGCCCGGTGTGGTGCCCAACGCCTGTAGCCTGCTTAAAGGTTCCGCAATGTGATAGCAATAAGACCTAACATCTATACTGTTCTCCAGGTAAAACCTAGGAAAACAATGCAATATAATGATACTGCATTAGTTCAGACCACTTTGTGTGCAATCGTTGACTAAAAATAGCTCATTTCTTTGCATCCCAGTTACTTTCCTCAGTTGAAGCTCAGATAATAATAGCAGCTGATTCAGAGATTTTGGTGGAGGCTATTCTAATCCTTGTTAATTGCTCAATAAAGTTTCGCCCTTAACAGGAGTTGTATCGCTAGCTTCCTCGTCTGCTGAATGACAACTTCAAGATTCACTCAACATACTTGAAAAGCTCACTGTATTGCTGGAAACATATTCGTGCATTTCCTTTGTAAGGCTTTGAGTAGAGTGAGAAAGGTTCGGATTACATACGAACCAGCGGCCTCACGTGGAGGAAATGAGCACCAGCAGCGGGTCAGGTGCTTCTCTGCTCCTGGCGCCCAAGAAGTGCCAGCACCTCCATCCAGCCACGTTGCTGTTCTGTCAATTTTTTCCCAGGCCGGACTGCCGCGTCAGGGCGTCCGGCGCTAGGCCCCGCCCTATTCCCCGCCCTACGCGTGGTTGCTGGCCAATCGCCGCCAACCGTGTCTGTCCGAGACTGCTGATTGGAGGAGACGGCAGGGGCTACGCCTACTCCAGGCGGCTGTGTCAACGCTTGGGAAAGTCGCAGCGGGCGCCCGACTGCCTCTGCCCTTGAAAGCTTTTCCTGGCGACCATGGCCGGGTCGGCGGTACTTCTGCGAGGCGGCGTCCGCGGGTGCAGCCCCGTGCTTCGGAGGCTGATGCAGGTGAGCGCGGCTCGTCCCTCGGCTGACTCGAGGCCCCACCGCGCCCGGACCTAGGACTCTGGGAGCCCGTTCTCGTCTGAAAGGTTCCGGCCTCGCAGGTTCCGGCCTGTGCCCCGCGGCCCGGGGCCGCCGCGCTCGGGCCGCGCCGCGCCGCTCGCAGGCTCGTGAAGCCGTGGCGGTGTTTTCTTCACTGTCTGTCAGGAGAGGGCTCCTTCTCCCTTGCTTTTCAGTGGTGAGCACTGGCCGGCGAGAGCGCGGCGCGAGGTGGTAGGAGAGACGACCCTCCTCGGAGCGCCTGAAAACGCCGGGGGCGGGTTTTCCGTGCGGGGCCGGCGGGCGTTCCCGGGAGCGGGTCGCGAGCTCGGACGCGGCGGGAGCGCGGACTTTCCTGCTTCCGTCCCGACCGGAAGTCGGAGCGTTCGCCCGGGGGACAGCCGCAGCCCCTCGCAGGGGAAGCGGGAGCGAGCGCTGTTGAGCGAGAGATTGAGAGTGACGTAGGAGTCGAGGAGGAGGGCGCGAAGCCCGGGGATGAAGGGAAGGTGTGAAACTGTCCCTGCGTGGACTGAGGGCGTTGCCTGGTTTGGGTCCTAGCGCCTCAGAAGCCTGGCGTGAGCATCCCTTGAGCTGGGGAGTTCGAAGCCAGCCTGGGTGACTTGCGCCTTAGCAAGGCTCAAGGAAAAGAAAAAGAAATCCTGGCGACAGAGACGTTAGGGAGGTCAGAAGGAGTACGTTTCCAGGAACGATGAGTTTTTCAATTTTTTAGAAGATTTTAATTGGCTTTATTTTATAGTTTTAGCGTTGGGCAACATTTCATGTCATAAAACAGTGACTCTTGTGGGAAAGGTGAGTCTTAGCGTATTTGTTCGTTTCATGGAACGATTTGAGAAATCACAAAAACGTAGTTATGTCAGCTTGGTTGACTCGGTGAGTTCGCTGACCTAGATGCAGTACTCTAGGTATGTAACAAACAAATTGCAGAGCCTTCCCATGTTTCCTTAAGCGCTTACAATCAGAAACACACGTTCCTGATGAGAAACATGGACCAGAGCGGGGTGAGGTGGTTAGGATCACTGGATCAGCCTAGGCAACACAGCGAGAACCTGGCTCTTTAAAAAAAAAAAAAAAAAAAAAAAATCAAAAAATCAAATGAACCTGTAGGTTCTGTAACAATTGATGTGTGGCAGTTTCTCTTTTTGGGGGCTTGGGGTGGGGCTCGAGCTCAGGTCCTAATGCGTGGTAAGGAACTGGCTTGTGTCACCAGCCCACATTCATCTGACTGAACTCCAGCGATCAGGCGTGTTGGATGTTCCTTGAATTCAGTAATCATCTTTGCCTTCTTTCTGTTATGGGCAGCAAACCTTTGCAGACTGCCCCGGAGATTGTTGACCCCTAGCTGTGACTTTTTCTGTCAGAGGTGTCTCTACTCATCGCTTTGCATTTACTTGGTGTCCTTTTTTCCCCCCTTTTTAACGCTTTGTAGTTAATTTCAGCTGAAAAACAAAAATCAGTGATTTAATTCTTTTTTCCTCTTGACTTTCATGCGTTGACACTATTGACCACCCAGGCTTTAGTCTCCTGCTCTGTGGTCTGATCTGGTTTACTCTTGTTCCCCTCCACCTCCCCCCCTGCAGGGCCGGGGATCCACCAAGGGCCTGTGCGTGCTGTGCAAGTGCTGTACGGCTAAGCTGCACTCCCAGCTTCCATTCCGGTTCTAAGACTCAGACTTCTCCAAGGTTCTTGTACTGCGTCATCCTGAGCTCTGTGCGCGCGGACCGTGGCTCTCCCTCCCTCACTGTCTGTATGGCTGTGGATTGCCTGTTGCTGGTCGCGTTTCATTCTCCACCCTGTACCCTCTGACTCCTTGGCTTTGGGGTCTTCTCTGTCTTCTTTTGGTCCTAACAGCCTCAGTGTACCAGTGCCCTCCTGTTACCGATTTCCTCACTGACTGACTGTCCCTTGCTCTCAGCTCTTTTGTCCCTTGTGTATTTCATTCATTGCACTAAATTGTTTCACGCAGATTTGTTTCTGTTTTCACGGTTGAATCCTGATGGTTGCACTCACTGCTTTTGCTCCCTTTCTTTTCCCTCTCTCTCTCTGTACATTGTCCAGCGTCAGTCCCTGGGCCCTTACTTCTCTGCAGCTGGAACGTCAAGGTAGTCAGACAAGTAGTGACAGTGACTTGATAATACACACCGTGGACAGATGCGAGCCATGGCAGCGTTAGCATGTGTTGAACTAACCAGTTCTGAGGCGCTGAGAGTCAGGAGTGAAGCGTAATTTTTAGGGCCCAGCCTTTGGCATGTAGATGGGTAGGGGAGATTTTCCCCGAGGAACAGATTTGGGGGACCTGGGCTGGGGTTGTCTGGTTAGATGAAAGGGTCTGAGAGAAGAGAACCAGGTGAAAGACAGATTGGGGAGTCACTGCCATCGATGGCGGTGGAATCCGTGAGCTCATCCAGGGCATTTCAGGGACGGGCAGAGCAGGCAGCCTGCGCAGAGGAAAGAGGACAGTGACTTGGAGGAAAACCATGGCAGTGTCCTGTGCCCCCTTGAATGCCAAAGAGCTACGCAAGAGGAGGGGTGTCACCTTCCGAGGGCAGCACGTGTCACACATTGGGCAGCTTCAAGCGAGAGGAGTCTGTTCTCTTACGGTTCTGGAGGCCGTCAAGCTGTGGCCGCGGGCCTGCTCCTCCTTAGGGGCGCCCCCCTCACGCGGGATTCCGCGTGGGCACCACCTCACCGAGTTTCCTCTTTGTGTAAGGACACCAGTCCTACAGTTTGGGTCTGCCCTAATGACCTCATTGTAACTTAACTCTGTAGAGACCCCGTTTCCAAACGAAATGAAGTTCTGAGGTACTGGGGGTTATTGCTGCTTCTTTGGGAGGACACAATTCACCCTATACAGCCAGGTGTGGGTAGCACATGCCTCCCAGCATTTGGGAGGCTGAGGCCAGCCTGCACCACAAAATGAGGCCCAGTCTAGAAAGAAAAAACGAAAAATCAGTTCAGCCCGTACAGAGCTTATTGTATCAACCATTTTTCAACAGTGTCAAAATTTAACATACTAGAGTGGTCATGTAAGATTTCAACAAAAGACTTTCATAGATGAAGTCCATAAAATGAACTTATACCTAAAATGAAAGGTTTTTATTTAAAGTAGCATAATTATTTAATATATAGAGACATGAGTAAGGTCATGAAGAAATACAAATTTGAGATGTGGTTTATGTAAAGGAATTTTTTTCTGTAGATAATTTGCATAAGCACAAAGCATTTTGAGTTCTGCTAATAATACTCTATCCTAAGAAGTTGAAAAGTTTAAAAATGCTTTATTTGCTTTTCCTAATATTTCCTTGAAAAGGCTCACTGCACTGATTTTTGCAGTACTTTTGCTATACAGATGTTACCTGTGGATTTTTTCTCTTCTGTAGGTCCACCTATACCTACAAAGGAGCAATAAAAATTTAGTGTCTTAACAGTGTTGATCAGTGAAGGATATAAGCAAATAATGACTAAAAATCAGTGCAATACTTCGGACAGAGTAATTGCTTCAAGTTCCTAAATTTCATTCGTGTTTTTCATAAAATAAGTATTTATGGCAGTGTAGAGGCTAAAATTAGAGGCTCTGGAGTCAGACTGCCTGAATTTAGAATCCTAGTGTGCCTTTCGCTAGCTGTGTGACTAGGGAGGTGCCTGACCAGTGAGACTTCTGAATCCCCATTTGTAAAAGGAGAGTAATAGGTGCTCCTGGCTCTCGCTGACTTTTAAAGTATTCCAGATTGCTGTTTGTGTCTGCCTCCTCTTCACTTCCCTACAATTAGCCTCTTTAACCTTTGTTTTTTGAGATAGGGTCTTGCTGTGTGTAGTTCAGGCTGGCCTTAAACTCACTATGTAGCCCAGGCCGGCCTCAAACTTGGGAGTGATCCTCCTGCCTCGGCCTCAGGAGTGCTGGGCTTACAAGAGTGTGCCACCATGCCCAGCTCAGAGTGGTCTTTTTATAGTAGCCATCAGTGGCTTGTGATTGCACAGGCCCGATCCTGAAGTGAGATGGGGTTCAGAACAGGCAGCTAGTATGGGGCCCAGATGAAGAATGATGGGGTTTAGAAGGCAAACCAGGAGCCAGATCATGCAGGGCCTTGTAGCATAAGGTAAAGAAAGGGCTTTGATAGCATTCCAGGATCACTGGAGAACCACCAAGGGGTTTTAAGCAGGCGAGTGGTGCGATCTGATGATTTACTGTCTAAAATTGGGTAGACTGGAAAGGTGGGTCAGGGAAGCAGGAGTCAGTACCAAACAGGAACAAGAGAGAGTGACCCGGACGTGGTGGCAGCCGTGTGAACTGAAGCGTGTGGAAGAGTTCAATCTGTTCGGACAGAGTATCGACAGTATTTATGGTAGAGTATCTTGGTTTTCGGGGTTGGGATAGAGGTAATTTTGGCTTGCGTCCCTGAGATAGGGAATAGTGAGAAGAAACTGGTTTCCCACAGTGGAAAACTGAGACAGTAGGCATTCAGCTGGAACTGTGAAGCTGGCTCTTCAGTGCGTGAAGCTGATGGTCAGTGAAGAGGCCCAGACTGGAGGCAGAAGTGTGGAAATCCTGGAGACGCCGTGCCGCTGCAGGCACTGAGCCCACGCAGATTGTCTGAGGAAGGCGCGGCGCTGGGGACAGAAGGGGCGGGAGAGTCTGGGCGTTCCAGTGCCTGGAGGCTGGCGAAGGGAAGGTGAAGGCTAAAGGTGCGAGGTATCACTGGGGAGGTAGAGGGCACCCACAGATTCTTAGGGTGGAAACCGTGAGAGGGTTTCCATGGTGCTGTGCACATTCCCGTTTCATTCTCACAAGACCTGCGCCGGGTGTGTGAGCCGCCCCCGGGGAAGTGAGTCCAAACAACCTGGGCCGCCCAGGCGCTGACCATTCTGCGGACTTCCAAAGAGGAGCACGGAGTTCGGTGTTTCTTCAGGGGTGGAAATGATGATAGTGAAGTTTTTTTCCAGTATATTTTATAACATATATTTTATACATACGTGTTTGTACCCGTGTGTGTATACAGTATCAAAGATACTGATGGTGTGAGGCACGCAGACGTGTGAAGATGCGCGCGTGGATCCATTTCTTTGCTGTGCAGCGATCTGTTGCCGTGTGTGTGCTTACGTGTGTCCCTCGAAGCGCTGCTGTGCTCGCTTGCAGCGCAGCGTCTACCACGCAGGGCGCCTCGTGTGGGGCCGTGCAGTTCTGGAGCCGGCTGGGACGGCCGCGGGCGGGCGGGCGGGCGGCGTGTGTTCGGTGGGGCCGCTCGCACCGCGGAGCGCGCTCGAGCTGGGCGGAGGGCACGGAGGGCCGAAGGGCCCGCGGCTGAGCTGAGCGGCCAGCTGAGAAACGAGGCGAAAGTTAACGCGGGCCGTGGGGCAAAGTGCGCGTGTTTCTGCTCGTTCCCTTGCTGCCTTCTCGAGCCGGGAACTTGCCAAGTAGCCAGGCGGGGCGCCGAGGGCGCGGCGCGGGCGGGCGGGTGACGGCGGAGCGCGTGGGGAAGAGCCCCGGCGGAG